CACATTTCATGAAACACACTTACCTTTATCAGACACGGTATTTCTGATGGGGTCTATTTAATTTTGTTTATGTGGTGGTGACCTATCATTTGAAAAATGTTACATCTCACTTGAAAGATAATGTTATCCCAACCTAAAACCAGCTTCTTTTGAGCAGACCCAATTTGTTCTACACTTTTGAGGGGCATTTGCAGTCATTTCTAGCTTTGAATATTTAAACAGGAAATAAAAATTTTGGTCACAGACACTAAATTACTTAATTACACAATTGGGCCAGCTTTGGGCTTCATTTAACTTAACTCTTAGTTCTCTTCACTGATGCAACACAGAAGCTCCAGTCACAGAACATAGCAATACGTCCCTTTTTGAAGGTTTCTGAATCTGACTGTCTTACTTATGTAAGAGAGTAATTATGGCTAAACAAGTCAATAAATAAGACAATATGTGTAATAACCAAATCAGCACGTTGCCTGATATAATGTAGGCACTCAAGAAGCACTAGTTAAGATTATTGTTCCTTTTTTACAATTTTAGCTGAACTTTATGAACCACTTTGAAACTTTATGAACCACTATGAAACCATCATCAAGAAAGAAGTTCTCACAGATGTAGACAATTGTGTTCTGTAGCCTCTACATTCTTTTCCTGCCTTTCTGTCTTTCTAAATAATGTAGCAATAGCTACATTCAGATCTGCCCTTGTTTTGTTTACTAACTTCTCTGCTGCTAGCAGAGAGTACTACCAATTTACAGTGATTGAAAACACTTGGGAAATGGACTTTGGACACTATATTTTAGAGTGTCTGTAAGCACATGTTGAAAATGAGTCAAGGAACCGTTTTAAACCAGATATACAAAACAATAATTTCTTCACATTATAAAATCCCCAAAGAGATGAGAAGTTTCTGAGAGGCATGTATGCCATTTCCAGTGAGGTGATGAGCCACCGTGGGCAGGGAAGATGAGAAGTGGAGAAAGGGGCCTTCTTTTCTCTCACCAAACTACATTTTGGGATAGGGTGTCACAAAAAATAACCTACAGGTCTCCTTTTCCAAGTGCCCCCAGTAGAACTTTCAACACATGTGAAAGAACGGCAGCTTGAGAAGGCTTAGAATCACACACTGTTTGACCCTTCTATTCCAGCTAAGGAAAACTTAGGGCATTTTTTTTCCCAGATATTTTTTCCAGATTCTACTCACAGTCATTAAATTTGGGACCATTCACTTTATAATGAAAGGCCAAAATCACTGTGTTGGACAAAAGAAACCTTACCAGTGGGTGCAGTGCTGTGCCATGTTCCTCTTACCCAGAGCTCCCTGGTCGTCGCCAGGTGCCAGCTGAGTGGATTCCTCCTCATGGAGACACCGTATACCGCAGAATCAGTGCTGCCCAGGCTTGCACTCGTCTTAGGATCGCGATATTTGAGGCCAGCGTTGCAGCCACTGTTGATCGCTCATGGGTGGTCTTGCTCTTTTACATTGACTTCTGCTGTGTCAAGCCTGGTGTCCTTCTCCAGGGACTGGTCCATCTTGATCAAGTGACACTCGTTCATGATAGGAATTCTGGCTGTATTTCTGACATAGATTTGTTCCGTCTTCTTGCAGCATAGCTCATTAGATTAAGGTAATTAAATGTTTTAGCACATCACCTTGGTGGCTTTAAGAATACATGGAGCGTTTATTTTAATGTGGTCCTTGTTGTTAGATGACCATCTATAACCTTTTATGACTCATTTACCTTAATATTCGTACTATTCTTATGTTGTTCTTCCACATCATCTCTTCCTTTCTTTTCTTTTTTTTTTTGTTTGGATTCTGGTCTATTTTGTTTACAGAAGTAAAATATACGGTAAAATATTCAGTCAAGTGCACTTTTGACATCCTGAACAATGGTGTTTCATCTCTTACCTCAGTACACAGTGGGGAATTAATAAACATTTATTTTCTGTCATCTTTCATATTCCAACATTCTCGCTTTCACTGAGACCGATTTCTCTTAGGTAGTGGAGGAGAATTTTGAGTGTTAAGGAAGATTGGATTTAAAGACACACGGAGAGATAGACACTCTTCAACATACATAGTTACGTTGGTTACTGTGGTCGGAATATGTATCGACAAGTCTTGTAACTCTGAACATATTAATATCAAATAAATGTCACATTTAAATTTTATTCATCTTTGGATTGGCATATTGTAGCCCCATATGCTTTTTTCTTTTTCATTATTACATATTAGAAGGAGCTGTTCTAAATGGGAAGACTCACATCATTTTTTTTTGTATATTCAAAAACAAAAATCTCATTTTTATGTCAGAACAGATTTTTAAAAAGAATTAACGTTCCCGACTCATGTTATTTATTTATTACTGTAACACTAGATGCACCTTCAAAGTAAGAGGACTAAATAGATTTGTGATCCTGTTATGAAATGTAGTAAGGAAGAGAAAGAGTTCCATGTCAGCTTACACGGTTTTTAAATAAAATGCATGAGCTGGGTAAGCCTAGATAGATCTAATACAGGAATGGAAAATCTGTTGTAATGTTTATGGTTTATATATTTTACACTTTACCAAACCTATTTTTTGCTGTGCTTCTTTTTCTTTAGTAAGATGGCATTTGAATGTATGGAAAGGAAGTCATGTTTTGAAAAATATTTCAGGAGGATAAACAATTTCCTTAAGGAAATATATTTTATAACAGTACATGCTTGTTGTAGACTTTCTTGGGTGGCATAAATGGCTTAGGAATCTTCTAGTGGCCAAAAGGTTGCCAGTTTTGACACACTGGGAAATGCCCCAGAAGATGGGCCTGGGGTCTTCTTTGGAAGGCTACCGACTTGAAAGTTCTATCGAACACAATTCTATTCAGCACCTGGGCTTGCTAAGAGTGGTATTCAACTCAATGTCAACTAAATACAGTTACAGTATTAGCAATTGTTTAACAGTGTCGCCAAACTTCAAACTCCAATGCATCTATCTAATTGTGACTCACAGCGACCCTATAAGACAGGATAAAACTGAGACCCTGTCAGTTCACGGGAGCCTAAAGCTTCACCTTTTCCCCAAAGAGCTGCTGGAGCTTTTGACCTGTGGTTAGCAGTCATGCTCCTGTGCCCCCAGGGCTCTGTAATAATAGTATTCTTAAGGAATCTCAAATATTTGAGAATGATTTGAGTTGATTATCCACTGAAATCAATAGGAAAAAATGAGAGTGTTGCTTTAGAGTGATACAATGTGTTTCAAAGGATAAGGACCATTTCCATTTAGATATTTGGAATCTAAAGAATGAACTTTACGATAATTGGTAGAAATTTCAAAACTCATATACATATGTTTTTAGGATGTTTTAAAAATATGTTTGAAGTATAACAATTAAAATATCTTTATAATTTGAAAATGACGATGGCAACATATGTACAAATGTGCTTAACACAATGGATGTATATATGGATTGTGATAAGAGATGTAAGAGTCCCTACTGAATTTATTTTTTAATCTATATAACTATTGATAAATTCATTTGTTTATATTACTAACTAGAAAAAAAGCTTTTCAAAACATAAAAATAAAATACGGAAGGTGTGATATATTGAAATATTTCACAGTTTAACTTAAATTACTCATTAATCATAAAGAGATTAATCTGAATGATAAAAAAATCATATGTCCAGATTTAAATAAAGAGTTCATAAAATATCTATAGTATAATGGACTACACAGTTACAATATAAGACAGTATACTAGCTTGATTCAGTATATGAACAATGTACATCTTAAATTATATGTAACACAGATAGACAGCTTGAACAAATTTGGATATTTTCCTAGGAACACTATTTCAGAAAACTAATAGAGAGTTCTGTAGGTAATCAGATGTCATTTTTAGGAGGGTGAAGAAAATTTGTATAGAAGGGAATTAAATAAAAATCTGAAAGTCACCAGCATAAATACATCCTATACTACTAGCGTTTCTCTTTCTATAAAGTCTTTCTAGCTTCTATCTCATTCATGAGAGATTTGTTGACATTTTCCCTTCTCCAGTACCTGCTTTTAACTGTGCCTCTCAGAATTGAGAGTATTTTAGTTATTTGGGCTCTTGAACTAAGGAGGATACGTGACTTCCGGTGATCCCAGAAAAGGATAAATTACTTGTAAACAAACTTGTAAATGCTGTAAACTAAAAGCAAAGCTATTCCCGCAGCATGGTGCTCGCATGTTCCACTGACCCAGTGGCCGTCCCTGATTCCTTCATCTGTGTGCTTACAACGTCTACTAGCCCACTGAAAGCGATTTTATAATAATTAGCAGTTTCTACAACAGCTTTACATCTTACCTCTTACTTTGGAGTTAAGTGCTTGGAAAGATTACTCCCATTATTTAGTGTTCTATAGACATGTATGAGGTTTGCTTGGAAGAATTAATTATGGTTTTCTAGTCTATAGAATATTTTTAAAGATCATTCTAAATCGAAACAATATAACATATACAGCCAATCCCTGGATTATGAATGAGATTTGTTGCTAGCTACTTCTTTAAGTATTGGTAGGTAAATCAGACTACATGCATATCATTCTTATAAAGCTTTAATCTAGTCTGGATCTCTGAATAATGATAGCTCAGATGAATCTATTGATGCTTACTCAATGTCTTTCCAGTAAAGCTGCAAATGCAGAGAGCGAGGTGATTGTGATAAATAAACATTTTGCTGTGTATAGGCATTGATTCAATCATTTCAAAGTGAGGGAAAATTTATAAAACAATAAAAGACAAGTAGTTGTCCATAAATCAGACATTCGTAAGTAAGGGCCTGTCTGTACTATAAATATCATATGAATAGTGTGCTGGCATACACACACATGAACCTTATCTCTGATATGCATGTTTCTGTGATATTAGCATTTATCTGCTTGTGTGTGGGTAAAAATTCACACATACATAAATGTTTCCATTTTTGTCTTTATTATTATTTTTCTCCCTCTTTCAGATAATGTTGAAAGGATTCTAGAGCCATCTTTGGTATTGGGCGTACACAGCATCTCTTCCACGTTTGTCCTCGTGATCCATTGCCCTCCAGCTTTGACTTCTTTCTGATTCCTTCAGGCATTTTGCATGATTGGCAATGGTTACATGAACTTTTGGAAAGTGGTTTTTGTACCATATCCTTTATTCACGATGGAACTTTAGGAAGCAACACAGGAAAGAACTTCCAGAGCATCATTTTAAAAAATGAATCTTATTGTGAAGCTTCGGCGAAGTTTTCGAACATTGATTGTTCTCCTAGCTACCTTCTGCTTGGTGAGCATCGTCATTTCTGCCTATTTCCTGTATTCTGGCTATAAACAGGAACTGACCCTTATTGAAACCACTGCAGAAACAGAATGTACTGATATCAAAATTCTGCCATATCGGTCAACGGAGCTAAAAACAGTTAAACCTATTGATACATCCAAAACTGACCCCGTTGTCCTCCTGTTTGTGGAGAGCCAATACTCTCAACTAGGTCAAGATATCATCGCTATCTTGGAGTCCAGTCGGTTTCAGTACCACATGGTCATTGCCCCGGGCAAGGGGGACATCCCTCCGCTTACGGATCGTGGCAAGGGGAAATACACATTAGTGATTTATGAAAATATCCTGAAGTATGTCGGCATGGACTCATGGAACCGGGAGCTTCTGGAAAAATACTGTGTGGAATACAGTGTTAGTATAATTGGTTTTCATAAAGCCAATGAGAACAGCATACCGAGTACACAATTAAAAGGCTTTCCATTGACCCTTTTCAACAATCTAGCTCTGAGGGATTGTTTGGTCAACCCTCACTCACCTTTGCTGCATATTACCAAATCCCCTACTGTTGACAAAGGCCCTCTTCCTGGGGAAGACTGGACGATTTTTCAGTATAATCATTCCACCTACCAGCCTGTGCTATTAACTGAATTACAGGCAGAGAAAGCCCCTCCGTCTTTGTCCAGCAAAACCCTCTATGCGACCGTGATTCAGGATCTGGGACTCCATGATGGAATTCAGAGGGTTCTGTTTGGCAACAACTTGAACTTTTGGCTCCACAAGCTCATCTTCCTAGATTCCATTTCGTTCTTGTCAGGGAAGAGATTGATACTGTCCTTGGACAGGTACATTCTTGTGGACATTGATGACATATTTGTTGGAAAAGAGGGAACCCGGATGAATGTGCAAGATGTGAAGGTAAGAACGTTTATAACAACATGAAATTTTTATTTTATTCACTTTCAGGTGTGTGTGGGTTTAGAATAAATATTTTAAAACTCTTGAACTTAGTTTTAACCATTCCTCCCAAACATGTCATATGTTTCAGGGTTTGGGACAGACAGAAAACATCACAGAATATATGATGTTAGACTTCTTGCCTCCATTTAGGTCTTGCCCAGGCCAGCTGGAACCTATATAACTGGCCTCTGGTTGTTTTACCTGTTGAGGTTTGTAGCAGTGAGACTGATATATTGACAGAGCTCTATCTGTGGTGGTATGATTTTGCGTGCCCTCCTGGGGGTTGACCCTGGTGGATGACATACAAGATGAGATGCCAGTCAAAGATCTAGCCATTACTTAAATATTGGGATTTTTTTTTAAGTGTCATAGTGCAGGTAGTACTGGACTTGGCTTTGGAGGTTATAATTAATTATTCAGATATTATAAGATAAAACATCAATGTTGCTGGTTACACATTCTAATTATGTATTAAAATTCCATTTTTGATCACTAGTAGAGAAAGTAAATTAAAAAATTGGTGGGGGGGAGGATAATTTCCCCTTTGCTTATCTTGGTTCAACATTCTCACATGATCTTTAACTCATGCCTGTTCTGCTATATAGATGATAAAACTCATTCTGTACATTAGTAATTTAAGAGAACATATAAATAAAAATAATAGCACATCATTTATAAAGAAACTGATCATTTGGCAAGATGATGCCATCCTCTTTCAACTTCCATTACTAGATAATTAGTCCTCTCAAGATGACACCAGGATACTACTTCAACATACTAGGTTCTTAAAATATTGAACTTTAAGGCATGACTAAAACCAGTGAAATAAAATCCCATTTTAGGAATCTCCTGTATTAGTGGGCTCTGTTTGAAACAGTTTACACGACAGTGATTCAGCATGAGCTACTAGATGAAGTAGGATGTAACTCTGACCCAAATAGTTTATTGTAAAAATATTAAATGAGCTTTCACAGTTCTTTCTAGCTTTTTGTGACTTTAGAGAGCTAAATATATATACTTTACCTTTTCTTAAATAAAAATATTTGTTTTATTTTAGTTTTGATATAATAAACTTAACAAGAGTTTGTGTTTCAAAATTTTCCCTATTTGGGTATTATCCTAAACGGCAACATATACCATTTCAGTGTACAACACTACAAAAATGTTTCAAAAGTTTCATGGACTATAGGATGAAAAGATACTGAAACTTTTCTATGACCTTCTTGCAGTGCCCGCGTATGATGTGGAAAGTTCTTGTACTTCTAAAACAAGGTTTTCAATTCAATTTTACCTCTTTTATTTATTCTAAATATAAAAATAAATAACTAGTACAATATTTGAAATTCAATTGTGAATTTTAAGTAGCATAACCACATAGAGAACAATAACATTGAATAAATACTAGAGGAGCAATTTCAGAAGCAGAGACTCACAACATATGTATCTGTGTTTGTGTGGTTCTACATATCTATTTATGTATGTGTATACATATACAAACACATATTAATGTGTGTGCACATACATTTGTGTGTATACATATGTACATATTTCAGCTGAGCTATTTCTTTGAAGATAACATCCTCTATGTGCCACCTGGGGTTTTGTTTATGATTTTCTTTCAAAACTGATAATCAGTGAGCATCCAAGACTTGATTAGAAGTTAGAGATGTAAGTATCCTCTTGGGTTACCTATATTTCTAGTGTGGTTATAGTAACAGTGTTTTACATTTTATTCTTATTTTATTTCTGTTTTATTTTTTATGTACATAAAATCTAGGATCAAGAATCTTGACTGTATGTGTAGGGAACGGGCCTGGATGCCTCTATGGTCTTCAGCCTCATATATCTTCTTGGTCATATAGTATTTAATAATGTTTAGTGGATGAAGAGAAGAAATATGCACTTCTTCAAACTCGTCTCCCATTTGTGTAGTGCCCAGGTATTGCTGTTCTTGAGTGCTGTTCAGATCCAGTCAGTTTAGACTTCTGGGATTGCCCCGTGGGGTTTCAAACAGTGGAAGCTTATGACGGATGCATACAGTCCTGGCTTTCCCACCGAGAAACTAGTGGGTTCCAACAGCCAGTAACTGAATATGGAACCACTGCGCCACCAGCGTTCCTGGGATTCGTCATTGAGAGTTTTTGGTGATATTCTGATGTAGAATTATTCAGTTCCTCAATTGAACACATGACGGAAAGCATAGGTACTTTGTGGGCCCTCCTTGGTTATGTGCATGATTATTTTCTCCCCGGACTACTTTCGCCATGTGCATGTCAGAGCTGGGAGTAATGAAGAGCAAATTCTGACATTGCCTCATCTAACGGTAACACTCATTAGCATATTTCTCTTAAATCTAATTCCTTGATCATTAGATCAAAATTTTAGATCATCTTATTGCAGAGTAAGCCATGTGTAAGGTACAGCATTATTGTGTAGTGAAAATGACATGAGTATTTGAACTGAATTTGAGAGGCCATATTCTTTCTACTATATGGTTCTGCTGAACTAAGCATTTATGTTTCTTCTCTGCAGAATTCTCTGCCCTTTATCTCATTGTCTCAGGCCCTTTCCCACTAAAGCCAGTGAGAGAGAAATTTATATTTCCATTTCAAAAGAAACCTAATTCCACACAGTTTTAGTAACTGTCATCAGATTAACATAATTTCACTGCATATCTAAAATTTTGAAATGTGAGAGAAAAATTACCATGTATATAAAACTTCTATAAATTAATTGTATTTGGAAAGATTATGGTCATAATTATTTTGACCTGGTATTATATCTGTGTGACCTTCAATGCAACCACAAAATATTTCATGTACATGGAAGGTTGATTACAAGGATAACCTCTAGCTATTTAGGATGTTGTCTTATACATTTAAATTTATTTTTTCTTTGTGTGGAAAGCCACTTCTGTTTTCACAGTGGTCTTAAAACTGTGTTGATTGTTCCTTTTAAAAACGATATTGGTTGAATAGGAGTACTGGTGCCTCAGAAGGATAAGCAGTGAACCACTAGGTAAGCAGTTCAAACTCACCATTTCCTCCGCAGAACAATGGTGAAGCTGTCAGCTCCTGTAAAGATGCACGTTCTCCAGAACCCTAAGGAACAGCTCTTCTCTGGCCTATGGGATCACTGTGAGGTGGGATTAACTTGATAGAAGTGGATTTCGTTTGGGTTTTAACCGGTTGAAAAATAACACATTTTCACAAAGAGCTGAAATAATCAAAGATCATGTTGATTACTGTTATTTTAATAGCCTTTTTAGTAGTCCTATATGCTAATTTCTATGGAAAATATAGATTTTTTTTCCCTGGAATTCTGGTTGGATTCAATATTTAATTAATGAAAAATTTACTCATAGAAATTTAGCAGAATTAAGAAGAAATATACTAATTTATTCCTTGAATATCTACTATTTATAAAACTTTGACATTTTCTGCCCAACATGTCCAAGTTTTTTATTTCATCATTTAAA